TGAAGCTCTGCTGCTGTGAGCATGGGCTGGTGGTTCCTCGGTTTGCTTAGTCCAAAAATGCCAAGGAAGGGTAATTACATAAAACACTTTTTCATATTCTGATGCCTGCTCAAGACCAGATGTCTCACCGGGTGGCATTTAAAGCATGTTGGGAAACTTTCCCTGTCTGAGACAACTTGAAACAATTATTTTTGACGTGTTGTGGTAAGTGGCTGGCGTTGATTGGCTGTGGAGGGGACATTAGAGCAGTCAAGTCTGCTTCCATGACCCCTGTGGCACAGGGGGAACAGGGACGGAGTGATGTGACATTCAGCCTGGAGTGTAGAAAAAAAAGAGAATTAAACATTAGCGTAACAGAGGGCAACTTTGCAGGTGGAGTACAGCCAGGGAGTTTGCAGGCTACCACGAGGCCATCTTAAGGCAAGTAAATCCTACCCTGTCAAGGCAGGAACATCTCTGGATCCTCTCATTCTTCTAGTAGTAAATACACTGCCTTCCTCTCCAGTTTCCTCTAAAAATGCCTTTGGCACTTCCCCGGGAGCAGCCTCAGAGAGGGAGGGGTAATACGCAACAGCCTGGTGGCCTCCAGTCTGGAAAAGACAGCTGCTTTTTTATGGGTCTGTGGATTCAGTGGGGGCGAGTGTAAATATAGCAGTTAATGTTCTCTCACGTCTCTGCTCATCTAACACCATCTGCTTTGTGTCCGTTCATTCACGCCGGTGCCAAGGTGTATTTCTGGAATGGGTTATTTGTGTATCGGCGGACGTGGTCCATGACCCTTAGGTGAGAGTGAGTATGTAAACTGTGCGGTGGGAGTAGGCAGGAGAGCTCTTCAGGTTTCAGGTGGTTATTTATAATTAGCTCTTGCCAATAGTTGCTTATCCACAGGGTCACGGTAACAGCAGAGAAGGGCAATGGAGCTGGTGAGGGGTCTGGAGAACAAGTCTTCTGAGGAGCAGCTGAGGGAGCTGGGGGTGTTCAGCCTGGAGAAAAGGAGGCTGAGGGGAGACCTTCTCGCTCTCTACAACTCCCTGAAAGGAGGGTGTAGCCAGGGGGGGTCGGTCTCTTCTCCCAAGGAACAGGTGCTAGGACATGAGGAAATGCCCTCAAGTTGCACCAGGGGAGGTTCAGATTGGATATTAGGAACAATTTCTATACTGAAAGTGTTCTCAAGCATTGGAATGGGCTGCCCAGGGAAGGAGTTGAGGCAGCATCCCTGGAGGTATTTAAAAGACAGGTTGAGGTTGACATATTGCTTAGTGACATGGTTTAGTGATGATTTTTATCATTGTTAGGTTGATGGTTGGACTGGATGATCTTAAATGTCCCTTTCAACCTAGACAATTCTGTGATTCTGTGTTTATTGGTTCTGGTGGTGGTGCACAAATGGGAAGGGGACTCGGAGAAGGCAATGTTCCTTTGGCATCCACAGCTTCTCTGGGCAGCCGGTTCCAGTGCCTCACCACCCTCACAGGAAAGAATTTCTTCCTGAGATGTCATCCCAATCTCCCCTCTTTCAGTTTAAAACTGTTACCCCTCATCCTATGGCTCCCCTCCCAGATCAAGAGTCCTTCCCCTTCTCTCCTGTAGCCCCTTTGGGACTAGAAGGGGCTCTAAGGTCTCCCTGGAGCCTTTTCTTCTCCAGGCTGAACATCCAACCTTTCAACCTAGACAATTCTGTGATTCTGTGTTTATTGGTTCTGGTGGTGGTGCACAAATGGGAAGGGGACTCGGAGAAGGCAATGTTCCTTTGGCATCCACAGCTTCTCTGGGCAGCCGGTTCCAGTGCCTCACCACCCTCACAGGAAAGAATTTCTTCCTGAGATGTCATCCCAATCTCCCCCCTTTCAGTTTAAAACTGTTACCCCTCATCCTATGGCTCCCCTCCCAGATCAAGAGTCCTTCCCCTTCTCTCCTGTAGCCCCTTTGGGACTAGAAGGGGCTCTAAGGTCTCCCTGGAGCCTTTTCTTCTCCAGGCTGTACATCCAAAACTCTCTCAGCCTGTCTTCATGGGAGAGATGCTTCAGCCGTCTGATCATCTTCATGGCCCTCCACTGGACCCGTTCCAGCAGCATTTGCCATTGTTTGTAGGCTGTCGCCTCATTGGCGTGTCATCAAGGTTTCCTCTGCAGTTGGTCAATCACACTCTCACAGGGGCAGGATTAAAGCCTGGGTATCTCTTACTCACAGATCGTCTGCTTGCAGCAGATAGGATTTAAGGCAGCAGTGGAACTTGTGTTCTTCTAAAGCACATTGTAATGTGATGAACTGTGTGCGGTAGTATTTAAAAATTGGTTTAATGTTCCAAGAAGACAACAATAAAATGTCTTTTATGCATCTAAGCTTCAGTTCTGAGACTAGTAGTGGAGTTTTGTGCTTTGGTGTGCAATGGAAAAGCAAAACCAGAGCAGTCATATTTCAGGAAGCGTTTGTAGGTTTAATAGGTTCATTATTTTCTTCTGCTGAGACTAAAGCATGTGTAAGCATATGTAACTACTTGCAACCCACTATTTTCCTTTATAATTATGCAGGACTAAACAAGAAGTGCAATTCCCTCTCTAATACTGAAGAGAAATTCTGTCGTGTATCTTCCACCTGCTTGTGTTTAACTCTTGGGAGAGACATAGGTATTAGAAATTCTGTGTCCTCAGCTTTGAGAGAAATAGACAGAGATCTTTATTTATGCACGATCCATTTGGTCTCCTTTAAAGAAAATGAAAACATAAGAACATTTTAAAAGTTTGTGTTAGAGCACGGGAATGCATCTTTTGGCATACAAGTTGTTTTTCTCTTTTGTTGAAATAAGGATCTGGTTTCTTTTCTGTTTTGTTTTTTTGGGGTTTTTTTTGTTTTGGTTTTTTTTTGCAGCTGATTGAAAGATTGAATTGTTTTCCCTTTGCTTAGCCGAGAAAATAATTTTCTCCTGGTGCTGCGTTTCCTCTGTCTGTTGTCAGCTTCCCGAGACAGATTGTATGCACTGGATTTGCAGATTGTATTTCTTTAAAATATATTGTTTAGCTGCCTCTAGTCATGCTTCTGCTTCTCCTACAGCAGTCATCGCTCTGCCCGCTCACCCAGTGCTACCACTTGGGTAGAAGAGATTTCTTTCCAGCAGCTTCTGCCATCTGGAACCGCCGCCTTCTCTCTCCTTCCTTCACTAGATCACCATAACTTTTTCAAATATTTTCTGGAACTATAACTTCTTTTCTTTCACCTCTCACTCCTCAGTGTTTGACTCTGCAACTCGATGCTTAATTTAGTAGGAAATGCCCTTACCCCCACTGTTTTCCCTCAGATTTTTATCATATGAAGTCAGAAAAATGCTTTGAGGCACAGCTTGATGAAACACTCTGTAAAATAAAATGTTATTAGAAAGTTTCAGAAAGACTGAAACCTGTAACCCCATAACTGCTTTCTCCCTACTGAGGAAAAAATAGTGCCAGCCTCCGTTTTTGTAGCTTCTGGTAAAAGGGTTTCCACCAACACAATATTGTTTTTCCATTCATCTGGGTGTGTGTATGGACAAAATTGTCACCGAGTCGTAGAATGGCTGAGGCTGGAGGACACCTCTGGAGACTGCCCAGAAAAACCCATTTTGTGAGATAAATCATTTGTTTGCCTGCGGTATTCTACTGCTCCCTCTGTATTGATATCTCTTAAAATGCTTGAAAATGTGAAGTTTATGTTTGTTGGTTATCCAGAGGTCTTAGCAGCTTCTGGCTCTGTGGAAACCAACAGGGATGGAGTGCTGAGATGCACTTGATACTCTGAGATAGAATAAGATTGTTGTCTTCAGAAATAGTTGAGAGGAAATGAAAAAACAACATCTTCTATCATATAAGTAAGTATGCTAGAGTACAAAAATCAGTTCTTAATGATGGATTAATACAGGTATCTCGAGTCCTTTAAGAAGAGGACAATGTGCTGAGATAAGGTCAATAAAATATCCTTGAATAAACTGATGAGAGAAGAGACTTTTATTCTGAATTTAGTGATAAACCCTAGGTTGTAGATCAGATAGCTGTTTGGCATGTTGTTTTTCTTTCGAAGTGCACTAGCAGTGGTGAAATACTGGGTTTGCAGAGTACACTGAAAGAGCTGCTGCTAGACCTGCAAGAGGCCAGCAGTTGTCTGTCTTGGAGAGAAAGTATCCCAATACATGGAGAACTGGGGGAGAACCATTTAGTCCCACCTTCCCGATCTGGAGTAATTAATTTATTATGTAGACCATAAAGTTTACTACTGTTTGGAAATCCAAGAGCATCTACAGTAACAGTGATGATAAAGAAATATTTTATATGCTTTGTATTGAACTTTGGATAAAGTGGAACTTTAGAAGTGCTTTAGTTTCACTGGGTTTTGTTTATGGAACATTGTGTGTTGCAGGTGTTTTTAAATGATTTTTGTGTGTTATCCCTTTTTTGTCAACTGAAGGAGTGATCTAGTGTGCTCTTTTCATTCACATCGGTAGTAAATATAAATACAGACAGTGATAAATGATTACTTTTGATGTTTTTCATTTCATTGGGCAGTAGGGGAGCCTAGCAGTCTAGGGAAATGTGTTGCAAATAATCCTCTCAAAGGAGTGAAAAATCCTATTTCATGCATTGTAAAATACAGCAAGTAGTCAAATTAAACAAATATATCCACTCTAATGATACCTCAAAACTGTGTATCAAAGGGGCCTGCAATCTTGGGCAGAAAAATCTGCTTTAAGTTCTGAATCTTACAAATTGAGATGGTTATTGCTTCCCTTGATTTTTCTTTTTCTTCTTTGCAATGTGATAAGAGTAAACTTGGGAATTTTTAAGAGACATCTATTAGGTAGAACAGTGGTGGAAAAGTAACACTGCTCTCAAATACAGCCTCTGCTATCTTATTGCGTGTGTTATTTTTTTGAAGTGAAAAGATGATTATAATGTGTAATTTCAGTTATACAATGAAACATCTTTGTTTTACCTGCAGTGTTGGGACTAATTGCTTTTTGCTTCCTTTTACAGGTCGCCTTTTTGAAGATGTGAAGAATACAGATACCTGTGTTGAAAATTCTTCTCAAATTGCTTTTCAGAAGAAAAGTACAGATAACTTCCAACAGTGTGACTTCTAGAAAAAAATCCAGTGGTGATACAGGACAGAATGGGGGGTGTGGTGTGTTGTTCTTCGTATTGGGATGTGTTTCAAAACCAAAGAGGGAGAGTCAACTTTTGCATCTGGTACGTTCTTAGATGTAATTCTTCAGAGTGACTTACCTGTCACATCGAGCTGGGACGACTGTTATGATCTCTTCATTGCCAAAACCAAATTATTTATGTGTCTTAGCACTGCCTTTATCAGACAGTGTTTGATAGTGACCTGTATGTCCCTACCTGGTAGCAAAGGGAGGTTTTAAACCATTTAACGTCATGAATACTAACGAAAGTTCTTCACTTTCTTTTTTCTGGTAAAGTTAGAGGTCCGTCTTTAAAATATAAATCTGGTTTTCGTCAGACTTAGATGTTTGTCATGTATATTGTTTCCACAGTAAGGTTTACCTTCGTTCTTGAGAGAGAAGGAGGACATTTTCTGTATTCCTACTCCTCATGTAGAATTTTTTTAAATTGATAAAGTTCTGGAGAAACTTACTCATGAAATGATCATCATGTGGGACGTGACCCTGCGAAGTGTTGGACACCTTCTTTGGGTTTTACACATCCAGAGATGAGTAGCTGAGACCTCCCAGAACCCAGTCTGGATATCATCTTATTTTTATGTTGTTATTTTGGTTTTCAGTATTGAAGGAAGAACAAAAATATTCTGAGTTTTGTATTCAGGGACTAAATTATCTAGCTCCAAGGTATTTTGTCTACGCACCAATGTTCAGTCATTTTAGGAATAAAATATATTTTCTACATCAGTTTACTGTTTTTTCTGCTTAATTTCTCTGGCAGTTTCAGCTTCCCAGAACATGACTGAGCAATTTACAGGTGGAAGACGTTTGTATCACACAGAAATACTCCAACTTTAAATTCTTTTCTGACCTATTTAAATGACCCCCGTTGTGGTTTGTGTGCATGCAGCAATTTCAGGTCAGAGAATATTTATGCTTTTGAGGCTTAATCTCTCTCATGTCTTGCCTCATTTGGGATTGTGACTGTAAAGAGTTAATCTCTCTCTGGTAACATACAGGGTTCCAGAATGATTGTTTTTTTGGGGAGAAAAACGTTTCCAGAGATGAAAGAAAAATCAGCTCCATCCTGTGTGGTCTGTGCTGTGGTTTGGATTGGTGGTTTGGATTTCTGGCTCCACAAATCCACCCAATTCACCAAAATATTGGTGTACCAGTAGCAGACTGATGTTTTGGCTGTAGCTGAACCTTCCGTTTCCCACTCTGCCCCAACCTTACCCCAGTGACTAGGCTGAGAGTGGACAAGAAGTTAGGAGCTGGGGGAGGACACACGGTGGGGAGAACTGACCTGAGTTGGCCAAAGGGACGTTCTGTACCGCACGGCATCAGGCACAGCAGTAAGAACTTGGGGTAGAGGAAGAACGAGGGAAAGGGGCCTCTTCCAAGGTGGTGGTTGCTCAGAGAGTAGCTGGACATCGGTCTGCTTGTGGGAGGTGACGACTTATTTGCTTTGCATCCCTTGGTTTTGTGGTGGTTTGGTTTATTTCCTCTTTCCTTCACTTACTAAACAGTCTTTTCTCTTGACCCACAAGTTTTCTTGCTTTTGCTTTTCCTGTTCTCTGCCCCATCATGCTGGTGGAGGAACGGAGGTGGGAACTGAGCAGCTGGGTGGCTGCTTAGCTGCTGGTGATGGTCGACCCACCATAATCGCAAGGAGAAATTGTGAAGTCCCCAAAAGAAAAAAGAATAAATCTTTCTGTTCCAGCTTCCCTCCCATGTGGGGACATTCTCTTTCCCTGGGTTCCCACTGGCCACAGCCGTCCATCTGTGTCTGTACGAGGGGCAGGACAATTTGACACAGCGCCCTTTCCTTGGTTCTAGCTCCAAGACCTCTATTAACATTTAACCACTGACATTCTCTGGAAAATATCAGACCACATCTGGTAATATATAAAAGCCTTGGAAATGTTACCATTTGAACATAGATTTCTTTGGCTTTATTCAGAAAAAAAGTGGTTTTGATGCTTTGCCAGGTACCAGGCAATACATTACTTAGAACTCCTGTTTCTGAAAACAACTTTCTTGGCTTTTTTCCCCCTCCTATTTCTTATTTCCTACTACGCCAGTGGTGGATTTGAGGTGTGAGAGCTTCATTTGACGCTTTCTTGCATTCAAGCTGCTTTATAAAAGCGAAACTTGGCCATTTTTTCAGGATTACTGTAGCAGTGAACCATGGGCTTTCATAAACAATGGACTTGGGTTCAGAAGAACCATTGAGTTCTCCTCAAGGCTCCTTCCTTGGCCTTTGCCTATCGCTGCCTTTGCCTCTATTTTTCTGTTGAATAGCGTGGTGCTTCTTGACATCAGCATTTGGAAAAGTTATGTCAGTACAAAGTACAATTAGTGACTGCGTTATTTTCTTAGCATCAAGAGTTAGTGGTATATTTTGGTCTGGTCTAAACACCGTGTCTGGATACTTCCATAACAGAAAGCTTGTTTGGTTTTGAAGTGTGCAGACAGTATCTCCATGCAGATGGAAAAGCGTGCACCAAGATAGGAGTTGGCCTAGAAGCTGTGTTCTTAGAAAATATTTGGCCCTTCTTATCACTTGCCCTCTCTCCCCAGCCCTTTTTTTTTAATCTGTTACAGTCTGCATTTTTCACTGCAGAAAGGGTCTTAATTTTTTGCTTTCTGTAGTGCCAAGCACAGGGTTAGTCTTCAAGTTCTAATAATAAATAACGTGAAGAAGGCCCCAGCTCACATTAAGTGAGACGGATGGGCATCCTTTCCTAATGAGCAGTTTCCAAATAGTGGATGGCAACAGGAAGATATTAAAAACGTCAGCTTTAATTCTAATATGCCCTAGGGTTATAGAGACAGCTGTTGGCGTGGTGCAGGAAACATGCCTGTTCATCAGTCCAGTTTGGTCCTCTCCATTAGTGACAGCAGACAATCATGCTGTTTCTGTCATTAACAGCTCGCAGAGCGATTACAATAGTGTAGGGCTTGTTACTTCTAAACAAGTTTGAGCATTTAACTGGGGTATGGAGTATGGAGGCTTATGGAGTATATCCATGATGCAACGCCTCTGCCCTCCACTTCTTTGTAGACTTTGTCAGAAGTTTCTGGCTGTGAGTGATGGGATGGGTGACGTGCAACAATCCAATCGTAGAGTTAGTGTAGGCTGTTTGCTCAGATTACCAGACTTGCCCTTTACCAGGCTTTGATTTATGTTGGCCTATTAAGAGAAGGGCAGGAACAGTCCTTTGTCTGAGCTTTGAAAGAAAATGGAGGTATGGGACAATTTACGGCTTGTGCTTGGTTGCTGAAAGGGGGCTTTGTAAATTTTTGGGAATAAATATTCTCAAATGTGAAGCAAAATGAAAACGCACTAAATTAAGAGCACCTTTTAACTTAATGGCTATTGAGAAGGTATCGAGTTGTTATTTTAGTTGATTCCCAGTAATTATTACGATCATATTTTTGGGGGGGTTGAGATGCGTAAACGTGGCTTGGCTGTTGCAGCCTCTTATCTTGAGAGTGCAAAGAGCAGCGTGGGTTCTGATCCAGCAAACACAGCTCTGGCAGGTCTCCACCTGGGGAAGTGAACATGGGCAGGAGCGAGCCCAGCAGAAGAGAAGGAGCGAAGCACGACCGAGGGCTCCCTACGATACTTAGAGGGGAAAATATATGAACAGCGTGCCTGAAGGAAATTATTTTTCCCCTCCTTAAAAGTGCTTTTCAAATTGCCGCAGGCCTACGAAGAAACATCTTGGTGGGTTGGGGATTTCGGAATCGGTGTCATAATTTGCTAATGAAAACATATTTCCTGGCCTTTTGGGTTTTTTCAATGATCACATGAACTCGAGTGAACAGCTTGTCGTATAGTAACGCTGATTTATTTTACAATTTATTTCTAATTACCCATAGATTTACTAGGATATGTGTTATAAGCTGTACCTTCCTCCTCTTCTAGATTTTGACACTTGCTTGGCAAGAGCCACCATTTACCCAAGAGCATATTAGCTTTCACCAAAGTTAGAATTTTTTTTTTAGTAGAAACTAGTTGCAATTTGTTGTTATAGTTACCAGAAGACGAGTAAGTAAAAAAGACCTCACATGGGCTATTTGTTTTGTTGTGTATCGTTTCACATTTTAGTCTGGATTTTTGCCTCTTACTCTACTAGGGAAAATGTTTCATTATTTGTATTAAACATTTTTATTTTGGCCATACAACATGATTTTAAAGCATTTTCAAAAGAGCTAGAATTCAGACTTTTCCATCCCTTAAACTCAGTCTCCTGTTACAGCTGTCACTCTTTCACATGGTTCTCTCTCATATGACTCCTTTCAAATCCTGATCCACCCTATATTTAATCAGGTTCTGGTCTTGGGTGTTTGGGTTTTGGTTTTTTTTTGTGGTTCTGCTGTCCTTAGTGAAAACCTGACCAAAAGCCTCAGTCTTCTTATAAGAATCTTCTAATTTCTGGGGTAAGGTATCACTGGCTGATTTACACCCATTTGTTGTACCAACTGCATTTTTTCATGTAGGTGAGTAGTTTTCTTCTTGGGTTCTTAAACCTCATACCGTGTTTAGGGAACAATCCTATCTTCTGGATGTTGAGCAACCTGGTCTGGTGGGAGGTGTCCCTGCCCAGGGCAGGGGGTTTGGAACTCGATGGTTTTTAAGGTCCCTTCCAACTCAAACCATTCTGTGATTCTATGATTTCGTCTTGCCTAAGTTCAGTTTCAAGTAACAATTCATGCAAACATAGCATTGTTCCAACATAAAACCACTGGTGACGTGGTCTGGCTTAATGGGGTGAATGATGGATGGATGAATGAATAGAGTTTCTGCAAAAATCTTTGTCTGATCAGCTGTGTGTTTGGTATATTAAAATGCATTGTGGACTTTATTACCCTAATCCGCACACACCAAATGCACCAGAACACCATATGTCTCCACAGCTGCAGGGGATAACCCAGCCTACTATTAGTTATTAATTTAATATGATCCTCTAATCAAAGATGATACAGTAATGCACAAAAGGACACATACAAATTCACATTTATCATTTTCTGCTTTGAAGTTTTTTGTCGCACAATCTAAGTGTGGGTTTAAGTTTTGGATGATGTGGATGAAAAGGCTTTTCGATTATTTGGAGGAAAGCATTAAGGAATCCTGATCTTGTCATGTGTTTAGACACAGCTCCATATACAGCTTCAGGGACTGGGCCTGCTCCTTTAAGTATTAGCACCTTCTCCATCTGATTTCATGAAGAATTCAAGATTAAAGGTTGCGTATGAGCAGTCTTCCTACTGAGAGAGTTTGTTGATAATAAAGCGCAATTTTGGCTTCTTATCCTTCTAATGAAATGGTGTTACACACATTGCAAAACTCTGGTAATTTCATTTTACTGTAATTCATAAAGAGGATAATAGGTAAGGAGCAATGCACTGGGGTGTTTTATTAGGAAATTGAGGGCCATCTTCACTGGTTTTTCCAGATAGCTTTTCTCCTTCCCTCTGTGGTGTTGTTTTTTCAGAATTGCATTGCTTTGGTACTATCTCACTTCTGCAAAAGGCAATTCTGTTAAATGTATTCCCGAGTGCACTAATGAAGTTATCACTGTTTGGCAAAGGCTTGGAGACGAAGACGCTGCTGTGAAAAATGAGCCTTGTCAACAAAAAACTTGATTTGTGATCACGAAAGGTGGGCAATGTGGTCAGTGGTGTATTACCTGCTTGTCTCCCACTTTC